AAAATCCTCCTCTACCCGGTCAACAGGAGGGTCCCAGAGCCGGTCTCGATGCTGTGGAATAGAGAAAAATCTCCTGCCTCTGTCGGGAATCGAGCCCCGGCCGCCCATCCCGTAGCCCATCAGTATACCGACTGAGCTATAGGTACGACAGTTAATTACGAGTAACTTTACAAGATACTGAGTAAGAGAAGCACTTTCTGAACGTCATGTTTCTGTTATGTTGCAGTTTTACTTTTCTTGAGCAGAGGGTGAGCATAAACAAGCCGCCATCATGGATGCCATCAAGAAGAAGATGCAGGCGATGAAGATGGAGAAGGACAGCGCCATGGACAAGGCCGACACCTGTGAGGGACAGGCCAAGGAGGCGAACCTCAAGGCCGATAAGGTCAGAAATGTTTAATGACTTTGGAAATGCTATGCTAAGCCCTAAACTGTAGGTTTAATGACGTTTATGCTCCAGATCCTTGAAGACGTGAGAGACCTGGAGAAGAGGCGAGCTCAGCTGGAGCAGGACTCGGAGACCACCAAGAAGAACTTGGAGCAAGCTAACAAGGACCTCGAGGCAAAAGAAAAGGCTCTGCAGGCCGTGAGTGAATATTGTTTTCTGTTTGTTAAGAAATGGGATTGTGGGTCAGAAAGCCACATGCTGTTATGATCAGGGAAAGAAATCGGTGTTTAGTCTGAAACCAGTTGCTTTATTCAGAGAGGAAATTACTGATCTAAATTATTCAAACCTCTATGAAAATTAACATTCTCAATTACGTCACATGTTTACACACAGCTTTTCTGTGCTCGTGAAAAGCACAAGTGAACCCTTCATGTGGCCTTCTCACAATTTTTCTCAAAGAACTGAGACAGTTCTGTTATGACGTCACAGACCGTTTCCAGTCAGTTTTATGCTCGCCTCACAGACTTTCTGAGAGAAGCGAAACAGTTTTGTTCTCAAATCATAGACGTTTAGAAGGATTGAACCAGTTCTGTGCTTGTCTCACAGACTCTCTCAAAGGAATGCACCGCTCATCTCACAGATTCTCTCAAAGGACTGCACCCCACTCTGTGCTCGTCTCACAGACTCTCTTAAAGGAATGCACCACACTCTGTGCTCGTCTCACAGACTCTCTCAAAGGAATGCACCCCACTCTGTGCTCATCTCACAGACTCTCTCAAAAGAATGCACCCCACTCTGTGCTCGTCTCACAGACTCTCTCAAAGGAGTGCACCCCACTCTGTGCTCGTCTCACAGACTTTCAGAAAGTAGTGAGCCAGTTCTAGGTTTATCGCAAGAATACAAACATTTCTATCATAAAGACTCAGTTTTAAATGCATTCAGTTTTCATTGCGACAACCACAATCATAAATACAATAGATAAAGCCCTTGATTTCTTCCAATAAAAAATTAAATTTGATACCACTGTTGTAAGTGACATCACGTAGGTTTACGTCAGTGTTCTGGGACCGAGATCAATAATTTACAGATTGATGTTTCCTCAGAATACAGCAAGTTCTCTAGATGGCCTACTTGGGAACCGAACTTATGTGTCACGGGTTGTTAAAAAAAGAAAAAGAAATAAACATGCTATTATATATTACCAAACAGATTTAGCCTTCATATTTATATATGTATAGGCCGAGAGCGAGATGGCAGCACTGAACAGGAAGGTGCAGCTCATTGAAGAGGATCTGGAACGGTCTGAGGAGAGATCAGGCACTGCGCTCACCAAACTGCACGAAGCCTCAGAGGCAGCTGATGAGGCCAGCCGGTGAGTGTGTAGGCATCGACTCGTCAGAATGTCTGTATGTCAGAACGGCGGCTACGGCTCTGAGGTGAGTTGGTTATTAAGGCGGATCTCTCGTTTGTTTTCCACAGAATGTGCAAGGTGTTTGAGAACCGGAGCCTACAGGATGAGGAGAGGATGGACCAGCTGACAAACCAGCTCAAGGAGGCTCGACTGCTCGCTGAGGACGCTGACGGCAAGTCAGATGAGGTGATGGTTATGAAATGGCGACATCTGTTTGTATGAAACTTGTGTAACTCGAAAGTGTAGTTGGAGTTGTATACATGGTCTGATCGCTAGTTTGTGTTACTAGGTGACTCAGAAGCTGGCCAACGTTGAAGACGAGCTGGAAGTGGCTGAAGATCGAGTGAAGACCGGAGAATCGTGAGTGTTCACAATAGTTGTGGGATTATATTATCTTGTTGCGGTGACCGTCTTCTGGGATGCGGTCTGAGAGAGATGTATCGACATTTCGGATGACTGTTTAGCCTCCATCTTAAATGTTGAAGAGAGTAGGTTCAGAAATAGGCTACACACTTCAATGATGAAAATGGAAACAGCATGTTTCACCAAAATATCTGTATGTATCAACAAAACTACACCGTGTCACAGCCCAGGAGACCACAATCTTAATAATTACCGCCATGAAAAACTCAAAATTTTGTAACTTCATCATTTTACACACTCCTCAATTCATCATTATTATTATTATTATTATTATTATTGGAGGGAGTGGATTTCCCCATGCACCGCGACCAGTTTGATCTATTGTACGCCCCCCTGTGATATTCTACCAGTCTCTATACCCTACCGGTACTGGTGCGTGCCATCAGTCCCGACTCAGCCAGCGAGTTCGGCCTCTACTGGCTCAGCGGTATCTAGATGCTTCCCCCATCTACCAGAGGCGTTAGAGACTATTGATGGGCGGGACATGTCCTTATAATTTGGCTCAGAGGCCTCCTTGAGGCATGAGGTTCCTTTACGTGTCGTATAGCTACGACACGGGACCCACGGCTTAAAGTCCCTCCCGGAGGACTTATTCCCTGAATTTTTCCGCCCTTAAAATTTCCACGACCTCCGCCGGATTTGAACCCGCGTACCTTGAGTCATGAGGTTGGAAGGTTACCCCTCGACTACGGAGGCCGCTCTCCTCAATTCATGCACGATTGTGTTCTTATAATATATTTCAAAATGACTCTAGAAGTTGCTGTATATCTTCTTAATTCTAAAAACTTCAATTTTTCAGGAAGATCATGGAACTTGAGGAAGAGTTGAAGGTTGTGGGCAACAGCTTGAAATCTTTGGAAGTGTCCGAAGAAAAGGTATGTATGGAGGACTTCAAAGCATGTGATCTGCCAACCAATAGAGCATACCACTTGCAGGAGAAACGTCGTATTGAGATTTAGGCTCCTTTAAAATAAGTTCTAGTTACAATATTGTCACGTGTAGGTGGGTACGCATGATGAAATTAACGGGTTCTAGTTCGGATGTTTGGATTTATTAGCACTTCGGTTACAATCTCTCTTAATCACACTTTTTACAGCGCTATCGCTGATTTACACAATTTACAGTTCACCGTTGCACACGAACTAGGCTACTTAGGTTCCACTAGTCGTCTCCTAGCAACGGATTTCAACACAGAAACTAGGGCTTCAAATCGTCATGAAGTCTTCTTGTTATTTCGTCTTCAGTCACTCTGTACTCCTCTGTCCTACTCTGTATTCAACCGATCTTCCCATTTAACATTAAGGACACGCTCCATTCCCGTCCTTGAACTCTCAACTGCTGAATCCTCCTGGACTCTCCTTAGCCGCGGCACTGATAACGCAGAAAACACAGTTCTATTCTTGCGTAGCGCAGACCACACAGAAAACAAGTCACGTTATAGCTATCTCGCCAGTCCATTGGCGCCCTGATTGTTGTCTAGCAACGAACTGTAAACAGTCGTCCTATTGTTGCGTGACCTTAAGAGAGGATTTTTTCGCACCGTTACCTAGCCATACACCTTACAATATTGTGGGATATGACAGGAGAGCATAATTACCAGAGATTCTAAAGAGTTCTGACGGTGGTGGATGACACACAGAATTACTGGGTTTTTGGACTTTTCCAATCGTCCGGAATTCTAGGTAATAGAGGATACGACGTTTCAGAAACTGGATCTATTTCTGTCTTCAGGTAAGAAAGGAGGACAACCACTCAGTTGAGCCCCTTAGAAAGAGCTAATCTCAATCACTGGATCCAGTGATCCTCTATTACCTAGAGTATCCTGTATTACCTAGAATCCCGGACGATGGAAGAAGTCCAAAAACCCAATAATTACCATAGCTTATAATTAATCGACTTTGTTATTCATCATAATCTCGCTTACTCGAAGCCAATCCTAAATTCAATCGTTGTTTCTTTGGGTTGCCTCGTAGTAAAGACCGTTAGGTTATGTGACCTTTACCCGATATTGGTAGGCTGATTAAACCAAGGAGGACGAAATGTCGCACGCCGCGAAAAATGAAGGACTCATACAGGTACAATTATAAAAGACAAGTCCGTCCAATGTGACTATTTCAGTTTTCTCACTTGATGATTCACTAGCCTTACATGTTTCGATCCATTTGGATCATCTTCAGAGGCACCAAACACTTTTTTGAAACCACTATCACAACAGTTGTCATATCAAATACACATGTAATGTCCAAGTACACAATGTTCCATCTATCACTCACAGCAGCCTTTCTGGTTATAGAAATATTTAGTTGTTTTAAAGTTTTAAAAACTTTGTTAAAAATTAAAATACATAAACCAAACGGTTCGTGTCAATAACCCCTGTCGTCTCTCTTCAAGGTGGCCAATGTTGTGCCTCCCATGTAACTGAGTAGGGAGATTCTTAATATTCTTAATTAACATAGTTTTAAAACTTTAAAACAACTTTAATATTTCTATAACCAGAAAGGCTGCTGTGAGTGATAGATGGAGCATTGGGTACTTGGACATTACATGTGTATTTGATATGACAACTGTTGTGATAGTGGTTTCAAAAAAGTGTTTGGTGCCTCTGAAGATGATCCAAATGGATCGAAACATATAAGGCTAGTGAATCATCAAGTGAGAAAACTGAAATAGTCACATTGGACGGACTTGTCTTTTATAATTGTAACTGTTAGTGTGACGGACTAAAATGAAACAAATCAGACTCATACAGGATTTTAGTAGGAAAAACTTCAGGGTGATAGAATTCCGGAAACTGAAGCCCAAATATATTTTAGTGTACAAAGCATATTAAGTGAGTGTTTAATCTTTCTAAACTGACCATTATATTTTCTACAAGCTGACAGCTGCCATGTTTGTATGTTACAGGCCAACCAGAGAGTTGAAGAGTACAAACGCCAGATAAAGAGCCTGACTGTTAAGCTAAAGGAGGTACGTTCAATAATCCGAAATGTGGAAGCATTTATCCTTATAAATCTTAACTGGATTTCTCCAGAAAAATGGGAATTACTTTATATAATGTGTAGACTTCAGATAACAGTAGGATGATCAAAGCAAGGAACATGAGGTGGTGAGGGCGCGCACCGCCTATAGGAGAGGTGACAAATCCAGAGAAAATACTGATTGGGAAACCCAGAAGGAAGGAACTGCTTGGAATATTTAAGCATAGATGAATAACAGGGAAGGCGTCACGTTCAAGAGCAAGGCATATATGGTAGGATAATATTAACATTTATTTGAAAGGAGTAGGGTGAGACACTGGTTCCATTTTGGCTGGTGAACATGAACATGAAGGCACGGAAGCTCTTCAGTGTCTGAGTGTGCAGTGACTGCTCCTTGGAGTAGCTGGCTGTACTGCAGGGATGCTCACTAGCCGCCGCTGCTTGTGCCGTTCCTCTCGTACAGATCGCTGCAGTGATGATCCACGGACATTCGGGGCGGATTATTCCGTGATCGTCTCCGTACGATTTTGGCCTAAAATCGACAGGTGAACCCGTCTTGCGTGGAGTAGAAGATTCGGTTATGTAACTCCATGTTTACCGAAAGTTAGATGTAGATGTGTTCAGTTAAGAACATTTTGGCTTCTCGCCTGTTGTCAAAACTGCAAGGATTTGAATATACAAAGCTATAATTTTTGCCTGTGGTTTAGTGTGGTTGTTGAACGTGGTTTCTTACATCAAGAGAAAAACGTAGACTGAGGGCGTTTGAGAACAGGGTGCTGAGGAGAATATTTATACGTAAGAACAATTGCACGCTGAAGAAAATTGCAAAACGAAGACATTCGTAAATTGTGCTTCCTAACAAACAATGTTAGAATGTTAAAATGAAAGAGGATGAGATGGGAAGGACATGAAGCACGTATGGGAGAGAATAAAAATTCATACAGGGTTTTGTTATGAAAACCAGAAGGAAAGAGGCCACTAGGGAGACTTAGAAACAGATAGGATTATAATATTATAACGTATCTTACAGGAGTGGACTGAATTCATCTGGTTCCGGGTAGGCACAAATTGCGAGCTCTTGTGGACACGGTAATGGAACTTTGGGAATTTATTGAGTGGCTCAGCAACTATTGCGCCTCAAGAATGACTCGGCTGCATGGAGTTTGTTGGAAAGTTTCGCGTGACCTACGCCCGTTCCTACTTGACGAACCCAAACGCTCCTCATTGGTCTCAGTCTTCACTTCTCCGATAGTGAGGAAACCATTAGGCATTATGAAGCTCTGGTGTTGTCAGTTCTGAGCACACGGATACTACTGTCTTCTGCGATGTGACACCGTATAGTCTGACTAACGTTTCGGAGGAACCTTCCATCCTCATCTTCAGAGTATAAGAGCAAGCCGCGCTTGGGAAAATGTGGTGTGGATAGAGGGAGGGGGGCGGACGGCGAGATCAGGCTCCTATGCCAACCAGAAGAGGCAAGAAGAAGTGAACAGAGTTTTCATCCGTAGCAGGGTTATTTTCGAAGGGCAGAGAAATTGGGGGGGGGGTGACTGAGTTAAGGGTCGAATATTCTAGACTTGGTTCTCCTTTCTTTCATCTGCCCACTCAGAATCTTAGTTCCAGCTCTCATTCTCTCTGTATAAGTACCATGTTCTTCCAGACTTGGTCTACTCATCTGACCTGAAATTGGAAGCAGTGGTTTCCTCAAAAGCATAGCCAACTGTCCACCAGACTATACGGTGTAACATCCCAGAAGATCACAGTCACCCCTGTGAGAACCTTAAGCGTCACATTCTTCAGATACATGTTAACGGAGACGGGTGTGCAGGCCTCCTGGTACTCAGTGGGCCGATACTTTAGGTTTCGTTAAGTCGAGAGAGGATTCAAGTTGAGTTTTGGCTGCTGCACTGTACAGTGTATTGTCATTGACTGCTACAGTGTCTAATGTATACAAGAGATATACTATCATGCATACAGATTATCCGAGTAATTACTAGATTAACTGCATGAAATGACGGGGCTAGTTTTACCACCTTTTATATAGAGTGTCGTGATGAAAGGTATCCAAAATAAAATAATTATAGCTGAGAAAGCATTTATTATACACATTTATGGGTGACACCATTGCAAAGGGAAACTATTAAAGCTTTTCTGAATATGTAACATTCTCAATAAATTTCAGTGTGGGCTCCCTTGACGGCACGAGAGGTATCCCAACGATATTCAACCTCGTTCCACGTTACTTGAAGAATATTTGGTGTTACCGTAGCCACAGCGTCCCTTATGCGGGCTTTCACGTGTTGAAGGTCTTTGATCTTAATCCGGTAAACAATTTTCTTCACACAACCCCACAAGAAAAAATCCATGTGCGTTATCTGGTGACCTAGGAGGCCATATCGCAGAAGATGGAATTCATCATGTTTTATGTTCTTTATGGGGTGTATGCTTGGCTTACTCTTCGACGCTGCAGACGAAAAGAGTGTTCCTCTGAAACCACCTGACTGCACGGTGTCATTTACCAGAAGGTAGATCTAACTGTACTATATTTGTTTGCTTCAGGCTGAGGCGCGGGCAGAATTCGCCGAGAAATCCGTGAAGAAGCTGCAGAAGGAGGTCGACAGGCTTGAAGGTACGTGTTGTGGCTTTCTCACACACTAACCGCCGGTTGTGCCCGGTGCTAGGCCAGACACTCCTCGCGTGGCGTGTAGGTGTGGTCCTGCTTGGCTGGCTTTCGTTACATGGAAAGTTTCTATTTCGCTTCTTTGTTGAGGTTTCATTCACAGTGCAGTAACACAGACTGAACAGACATATTCGGAGTAATCTGGCGTGCCAACATTCTCTATTTCAAAGAAATAACTCATTTGAAAGCAGAAGAAATGTTTAAATGACAAAATGAACATACGCCTCAGTAATTATTATGCGCACTCCGTGTATATTGATAAATTGTTATTAGACGTATAAGATAAATTTTAGCAACCACGGCTGCCAGTGTTCTGTCAACTCTCTTGCAGAAGGTTGTCATATGACCAGCTTCATTGTCTCTTTGATGGAATATGATACTTCAGTGTCGAAGCCTTGATGTATTTCGGCCAATTTGAACAAAGTTTTTCTATAATTCGGTACCAAATCTCGTGATTATCCATACACTAAGAAATTTATGTTTCCTTTTTTTTTTGTAGAATTTTATGCGCTTGGTTTTCAAAGATATTTTACAGTCTCCATAAAAAATACGCTAATCTAATTTACTTTGAAGACTATATAATATTTTAAAATCTGTGTTTATTTTTTTTTTTGAGTCTAAAAAGAGCCGTATCTATCGGATGCATTTTACACTGTGTATAATAGTTGTGTACACCTATCAGATTTGGTCATCGGATAAATTCTGACTGAAGAACCTGCGATAATTTCATTCTTGGAATGGCTCTGTGAAAGCAAACTTTGCTTACATGTGCACTAGCGGCTGCTGTCGCTAACCCCCAGGAATAGTCCTGGTACTCATTTCTGTTAGAGGCTGAGTCGAACCCAGGGCCATAGTGCGGCTGGAAGGATTAGGTAAATTGAATAAAATCCAATGACCTCATCGGGAATCGAACCCGCGACCATCCAGCTTGTAGCATAATGCCTCAACCAGCTACACTACCGCGTTCCCTCCTGACTTAAATAATACTAAAAGAGAGTGAGTTAGTTGTGCATTATTTGAGAGTAAGTTTTGTCGTGTTTGCATAGCTACCTGCATTAACAGGCATATTCAGCAATAAATAATTGTAATTGCCTAGAGGCAAATTGAGCATAGGGACTTGGGAGTATTATATTTATTTTGAGTATATTTCACCTATAATGAAATAAATATTAGTCACCAACGTACGATTTATATTTATCTATCAGATTTTTTATGTACCATTTCATTGCCTTATTGCAATATGCGTGATTGCACATCAGTCAGAATGCTTTGGAGACAAGGTTTCTTAAACTGAGCTACACTTCGAGGTTGCTTTTACGACTGCATGCTAAAGAGACGTGATGCGGTGTGCTGTTCATGTTGTGTTGTTGTGTTGGCAAAATGGGCGCAGGAAATTGACTTCCACTGCAGTTTGCAGCTGAGTTCATTGTTAAGGCATACCCCGTTTCCAATAGGACTAAAACTGGTCTGCTATCTTTCGTTTAGTATACATTCTTCAGTAGAAGAAAATATTGGCAAACTGTTACAATTGTTTCCCTGAAGGTAACCTGCAGGCCTAACGCTTTTGAAGTTCGCAATTAAAGACCCTTGCGCTGTAGAAGTGTGCATTACTCAAGCTCACAACGAGTGACAAATTAAAAATGTGTTGCATCCATTTTGTTTGCTAATCAAACAACCTAAAAGTCGTGTAATAGTATGACGTCATTAGACGTAACTTATGTACCATACATTCAGTGGACACTGACTAATGTTTTGGGGGGTGTGACGCCGTGTAATATGGTACACGCAATCTAAGGTTTAGAAGAAAAGTGCTACTGCATCCTTATGTAGCACGTTTCTCCGAAACTTCGGTACCTGTCTTGTAGATTGTCATATTGTATTTTCTGTTAAATTTCAGGTTTAAAATAAAAAAATTTCAATTGTCTGCCATTCGATTTATAAAATCGTTACATAAATATATCTTTACTTCGAGCTTTTGAACTTTCCACTTGCCGTTCAAGCAGTTTGGTTGCTTCAGGTCTGTGCACAGAGTTCAGTTGGGACAAAGGTTGCTGTCGCGTGTGAAGGCATGCCAAGTGCTGGAAGAGGACTCTGTTTAAGAATCCTTGTCGCATAACTAAGTTGTATCTGTGTGCTTGCTGCTGCTAACAAACTAATGGCATTGCCTTCCTGTTCCAGACAATCTGTTCGGTGAAAAGGAGAAATACAAGTCGATTACCGACGACTTGGACTCGACCTTCGCTGAACTCACAGGCTACTAAACATAGCAAAGAATTAATCTCGAAACCAAACGAAAAGAACGAAAGACCCAATAAGAACAAAATTAAAAACTTTTGCTTCACGAAAATTTCCGGCGCACCTTCTGTCTTCTTTTGCTGTGTCTTGTCAACCTTTCTTTTTCAACATTTTAACAATTTGTTGTTGAAAGCTTCCCTGTCTGCTGCTTCCTCTTCACGTCAAGGCTGCCATGCAAAGGTAGTAGCTTAAATGTCAAGTCTGTGTGAACAAGGGCAACATACACAATCAACTGCTCTGTTGCTGCCTGCACTTTTGCTGAATCTATTTTTATTTTAATTTCTTATACAACCTGTACCGATTGTATTTATTCTTATTAATACATCTGCCCTAAATATTTCTATTAAACTTTAATAAATTCCAAGACTCAAATTGAAGGAATGGCATTTGTTGCCACAACTTAGTATGTTAGAACTGCTGAAGCAATATTGTTGTTATATTGTCTTAGCAACTTTGTAGAATTTCATATCTGTTGAAAGGACTAGGAAGAGAAGTGAACTAAAATAGCAGAACAAAACATGAATTTTAAAGCAATCATCGAAAGAAATTATGTAGATGATTTATTTGTACAAAGTAGGCGTGATTTGCAGCTACAGTTAGCTTCTCCGTTTGCACAGACACTTCTGAGTGTTATCTGTGTTTGAATAATGCTAAGATAGTTTAGAATTGTACATATATATGTATATCGACCTTGTTCACACATTCTTGCCTTCAATATTTGCCGTTATTAATATAATGTCTTAGCTCACAATTAAGTAATAACAATAACGTTACTATCACAATTAGTGGCACTTACAAAGTATTTGCAATTACTCTATAAAATATTAGCTTTATGTTGCTTTGCTGGAGATATACGCTAACTCCATACATTTGTGGCTTACAGGAAATAATGAAACTCTAACCTCTGTGTAAAAATGTCATATAAATATACGTTTCACATGATGAAAACGTGAAGGTTGCTTATGTGTACTGTTATTGTAGTGTTAATATAAGTAAAGGATGAATTAGCAGACATTTGTATTACTGTACATGCGCCCATTTCTAATAACCCCCAGGACAGGGATTTCATATCTGCAGTCTAAAAAAAGCGGATTTTTTGTTCTCAGTTCAGAATACGCCTTGAGCCTTTCCTTTTCAAGTTTCTTCTCTGCTACGATTTACAGTTCCAGACTGCGTAGGTAGGTCATTTGTACGGACAAAGAACACACACACACACGCGCGCGCGCGCGCGCACACAGATAATATATGTATATATGAAATAACTAGCTGAACTCAGGAACCTACTTTGAAAAGTAAAACAGTGTAAAACAGAGACATTTACTTTTGGATTAATTTGTATTGCTTATTTTGTACGGTGTTTCTTAAGTGTATTTGGTTAAAGATGTGATCAGTCGGCTTTACAGAGTGTAACTCCTTTGTCCTGTCAAGGCATTGAACTCTCTCTCCCTCCACGCCCGTACCGCTTTCCTCCCTTCAGCATACAGAGCGCAGAAAATTAAGAAAAATCCGCTGACTTTATGAGCTATTCTATTTAGTGTAGCCATCCGCATAAAATCCAGTTTACGGGTGGGGAAATAAGAAACATAGGGTCCTTGGTCTGACAGAAAATTTGGTCTAAAGTAAACACTGTAATGTGTTCAGAATCAGAAAAAAGGGAAAATAAATCATAGGCGTGCGTTGGAATAAATACACTTTTATATTACGCGAAGCAGGTCTACATACACCACTATGTACGTTTAAAATAGACAGGATAATTTTCAACCTAAACAATTTCGGAATATTTAAATAGTCTTGAAGAATTCTGTGTTCTGAGATATAACATTATGCCGTCAGATGAAAGTCAACCGACGTTTCGGAGGAGCATATAGCCTTCTTCACCGGGGTCGAAAAGTAAACCAAGCAAGAAACCAGCATGAATCAGCCAGCAGCCTTGCTTAGCTTACTCGTCCGTTGACTTTCACCAGACTACGAGACGTAAAATTCCAGAAGATGGGCGCTCTTAGAACCTCAAATGTAATGCAAATGGTCTTGCATCACACTGATCTGCTATAGCTGTGTGTTCTGTCCTTGTTTGGAAAGATCGTGACACTGCGGGAAGCAAATTCCGACATTTTGTAGTTGAAATTAAAGAGTGCAGAAAGTTATTTACAAGCAAAAATGTATTCACGTTGGCTATTTGTTCTTCTTTTTGTTCAAATGGTTAACGCCACTCAAGTGAATCACGAAAGCGGGCCTATCTGTACGTATTCACTATTTCTGATTGTTTAATTGATACTGCTAACATCTTATTGTTGTAAGCCTCGGATCTTTCTCAGGCGCCCTTTTATGTAATTTAAGAACTGTGTGCAATGTTCTGTGTAATTTCTCTCAGATACACTACATCAGGCATCAGACGAAGAGAGACACCAAAAACCAAAAACTGATGCCGGAAGCAGTGTCATCAGCAGCGACTTGAAGCACAGAGCAAATGATGCTCGAGACGGTTCAAGTTCGTATAGCAACAGGCGTGACCAGAGTGGTTTGAACGGCTGTTGTACTGCGATGTGGAAAGCAAATGGAAAAACTACCACATTATCACTTTTCCTGGATAGTCTCTTTCCAAAAACAGAGATACCATGTATGCCAGATGGGCGGATAGAAGTGACCAGAAGACGAGGAAGAAGACGTAAGAAGATGCTGCATGACTTTGGGGACAGAAGTGGTTATTGTTATTTGAAGGAGAAAGCTTGAGATCGCATTAAGTGGAGGAACTGTTTTGGAAGAGAGTGTGGACCTGCAAATAATATGTACGGATAATATGGAGACAATGTAAGAAACTGGTCGTTCTTGCAGTCCATTGATAACTGGAGACCTGCAGGTTACATTTATTTGGATCGACTGTCATTGGTGGGACGTACTGGCGAATGATGACAGAGAACAAATAGTATGGAGAGTTTAGTTTTCCTTCTGTTCCTTGTAGTTCTTACGGAGGAGCAACAACCAGCATTAAGACATAAGACTTAATATGATGATGTTCTGTAACTGTAAACGCACACTCACTACCCTAGTCGCACATACTGGTATATCTTCGCACATTTCCTGGCTCGTGGTATGCATTGTAAGGACAATAGCTGCCACGTAGCTGCAGCACGGAAGCCCTGCTGGACATGTTAAGGGTCGCTGGGAACAACATGTCGTCTCTCGAAAAATTATATAAGGCTTGAAATATCAAGGAGGTATAAATCATATCGCAACTAAAAGTATAAGAATGATATAATACGGAAGCCTAAAGATTACTGAAAACTTAGCCAGCAAGTAACCAGGATTTGATCTTGGATTGCCAGTGTATAGGCCCATTTTATCATGGCATATACAAGACGTTCAAGCGCCTCTTTACAGTTGCATTGTTTCCAGGTAATTTTGATATAGGTTAACATTACAACATAAAATTTAAATTACTGTCTTTCATATAAATATCTTTGTCAATAATAAAAGTGTGTAGTTAATAGTCCCGTGATTTCGTGTAAGAGAATTAAGGATCAAAATTCATTCTCAGCATCGCAGTAGAATGGCAGGGTAAACACATACTGTACTGTTTATATTATATAAACGGCGCGTCACACATTCGCTTTACGTATACGGAGTATGCATTCAGGTTTCACNCATTACGTTTGAGTTGGTGCAATTCTTGGATTCAGATTGTCCAATACTAGCTATTTGCAACATGGCTGATTAAACATTTTATCAAAAGAGGTTGTTAATTTCTTACTTAGGATTTGAAGGTTCTGGGCTGTTTTCTTTACATTTTTATCGGTATTTAAAACCTGCGACTGAGCGAAAGGGTTTCCACTAAATGTACCCATATCACTACGGCATTTCCATCAGAGTATTTAGCGAATAACATCCTCGTTCATGAACTGATCCATGGAGTTCCTCCATAGTTTACAGATTGGCGACAACAAATGCCAACGAGAGAATTAGCTGTGTTTCTGATAAAATGGAATGAAACAAATGTCAGTAAAGCCGAAAATATTGAAAATAATTATGACTAAGAAATCAAGTTTGGCTGAGAACAGTTTATTACGCATTCTACTGGTTTCTTGAAGAAAATAATTGGCTGCAAATTTGAAACCGCAGAAAAGCGTGTTTTTAGATTTTCTTCATTAGTTGTTAAGTATTTGCTTTAATGTCGACTGAACTGCTCACACAGGCGAAGGCGAGCGCATTTCTTTTGCACTTCCAAATGTAAACAAATGTCTGCTGAACCATCCTGCACGGTCAGTTTCTGTTGATATATTATTAAACTATTTGTGTATGCTTTCTCTCTACAGACGAACTGGGTATCAATAAGGACAGATACAAGTCACTGGCCGATGAAATGGATTCCACCTTCGCAGAACTGGCTGGTTATTAATCATATACATTACATGAAACGGCAGGCATATTGGACGCGAATTCTTACCCGAGTGACGTCATAATATGGCAGTTTTGTAGACTTTTCATATTCACGAAATTCGGCTTCCATATCACACGTTTATCTCCTTCTAAGAATATATTTAATATTTATCATAGAAATAAATTTTGTTAAATATTTTGAAATTCGAAATGACGAGGAAGTTTGAATTTCAAATATTTGAAAAATAAATTTATCAATACTTGACCCTTATTGACAACACTAACATGTATGCATATCATCTTTCATTCATATGCACAAATGTGGGTATTCTTACAAGATAATTAATATGTTATAATAAATTTATTTTAAGTGAATGATAGATAAAGTGTTATGTATACAAATTATTACCTGTTGAAGTGATAGAAAATTTTGCGTGTTTTTCGCCACTCACTCGTCTCAAGTTTTGTTTGGTGGTAAGAAGGTGTGTTCTTCTCACTTGTAAAAATTAGTTTCTGCAGGAAATTTATTAATGTGAGGTTTGTACGAAAGTGAATAAACTCTATATTCGCTCGATATCTACCTGTTGTTCTTTATGTTGCATGGAAATATGCAAATTGTATATAAACATAAGATCATATATATGCCAATATGTCTCCCACTGTACGCAGCAGGTTCCCCAAGAAAGCGTTACTGACCACACGTTTATTACAAAGCAAGCACGCCGAGGTTTCAAAAGTAACATGTTCTCAAAAACAGGGTCACAGCCAAGGATAAAGGTATGTTGTATACTGATGAACAATAAAAGGCTCCTAACAATATCTACGACGGTCCCAATAAACATAAAGATACATTGCATGTGTTCATGAACAATAAATGGGCCTAAACGGATTCTAACACGATCCAAGCAAACCAGAGACTCTCGCAACGGCATGCAATTTGCAAACAGCTCAGTAAATTAACTTTGATATATTGATATACAGGAAAGGGCATGAGATCTGGCTAATCTGGCTGCGATATTCGTGGTTTTTCTCAGTTTTCCAGGCACATGCCAGGGTAAATGATGTAACAGAACCAACATTCCTCCCCTCCTTGTTATTCACAATCTTCCTATTGCTTATTTCTTTTCTTCGCTTGTTAAGAGATTGATACATTGTCAAGAAATAGTGAAATACCAAGTGAATAGTGAGGAGGGACGAAGTGTGACAGTCACAGGGCAGAGCATGTGACAGGCGCAACTGAACTACTTACAGTGCCCCTTGACTGGAAGATCAGGTGACAGTCACAGGGCCGAACGTGTGAAAGGCGCAACTGAAGTGCTTACAGTGCCCCTTGACTGGAAGATCAGGTGACAGTCACAGGGCAGAACATGTGACAGGCGCAACTGAAGTGCTTACAGTGCCCCTTGACTAGAAGATCAGGTGACAGTCACAGGGCCGAACATGTGAAAGGCGTAACTGAAGTGCTTACAGTGCCCCTTGACTGGAAGATCAGGTGACAGTCACAGGGCAGAACATGTGACAGGCGCAACTGAAGTGCTTACAGTGCCCCTTGACTAGAAGATCAGGTGACAGTCACAGGGCCGAACATGTGAAAGGCGTAACTGAAGTGCTTACAGTGCCCCTTGACTGGAAGATCAGGTGACAGTCACAGGGCAGAACATGTGACAGGCGCAACTGAAGTGCTTACAGTGCCCCTTCACTCAGCCCTGTCCGCTAACATCTACAGTTTTAGTTATATGACATAAGGTACAAGCAGACAGACTGCCGTAATTTGTGAAATATAAATTATTGATGTCTGTCACAGATCGGAACCCTCATAATAGTGTTATTTAATATGAGTTTGAAGTCCTTAAGATCACTTAAATTGGTGAACAAGTTAGCTGGTGCGTCATGGTGGGCTCCGACTTCATGTAGTCACATAGGCGGATACGGACGTTTCGAAGATATTTGTTGAATCCAAATTCAAGGTCAGAGTTTCTGATTTCAGCTGTTTTACGATAAGGTTGCTGTCATCCACATGATAGCACTACATAGCATAGGACTAACTTTCATTGTGGTAAGCATAGGCTATTTGACATACGGGTACAGGGGCCCTAAGTCACGTGAATATTTAGTAAAATGTACAGTAAAATTATTTTATTCGTTACTAAATTTGCAAAAGTGTAAGATCTAGAAAAACCGAAGTGAACGGAGTTCATGGAGGTAGGCCTAGGCCCACTGGGGCTATAGTGCCAAGGAAATATAAATAAAAATTTGCAAAAGTTATTCGAAATTAAAGTCGCTGTGTTAATTGCGGAACTCACAAGGCTCTGATAACGTTCTGCAAGTTGACTAGCAAGTCTGAATCTGAACATTTCCTTTAGCACGAGTGACTGTTTTAGGTTAACTGACTTCTGGGTCGCTCTGTATTTAGGAGCTTGTCCATCGTCGCAATTTTTCTTTTTAAATCTACAGCGTTTCGGAAGCTCGTCATTTCCTTTGTCAAAGCATACGATAAAATAAGAAATCTAACTCCGTTTGGCAGTACACAATATATCATTCTAAATGCTGAAGAAACGTTATTACAGCAGAGAACGTACGAGTATTTGCAGTGGCGTTTATAGCGTCTACCAATGTTTCAGTGCATGTTATGGTGGTGATGGCCGGTCACGTTACCCGAGCAGTCTAAGGCATGAACTTTCTTCGCTCACTCGGAAGCCGGGATCGTGGTTTCGAATCCCACACAAGGCATGGATATTCGGTATGTGTATGTGTTTATTCTATATTTGTGTTGTTCTGTGTTTAGGTAGAGGCCATAGGACGAGCTGATCACTCGTCCAAGGAGTCTTACCGTCTGTGAAATGATCGTGAAACTGAAAATCAGAGGCCAGGGCCCAAGGGGGCTGTAGAGCTAGCGAAAAAAGAAATGATAGTGAAAAAAAGGCTGAGAAACGTAATGATCTTATTAAGTACTATGGAATGTAGACCCGTTTCTAGGCAACGACAGTATCTTATGGTAGAAGTGGATCCGCTTGACGTCGTTTCTCAGGAAAGTAACCACGACGTTAAACGAGGGCTTACTATACTGATGAAAGAAACAGAACCAGTTCCCGAAACTTTGTGAACTGATAAATGGAACGACGACCAAAGCCCAAAGCATCAGTCAAAAGACTTCTGTAGGTTCACGCTATCGTCAGAAGTCGTCAGCCCACCCATCTGAAGTTGTGCTCCTCTCACAGTTGCTGAAGTTAGGGCAAGCAGTGACGCTTGTGACGTGTATTCGGGAGATGGTAGGTTCAAATCTTGGTTGGAACACCGACTGCCCCGAGGTCATTCTTAGTCTTCCTCAGGCAGCATTCTGATTATTATTTATTTTATCTGCAAATGGGTTTTACCTTGTGGCAATGGTACTACAATAAGACACAACACAAATAACACATGACACAAAAAGCATATCACACTCAAACAAAACAGCGCACAAAACTACACAAGCAATAAAGGACACACTACACACAGTACACAATGCAAATACAATTAAAACTAGAATGATATAAATTAATATTTATAAAAAAATAAGCACACTATACACTAAACAGTAACAGTAATGGAATACGTAATGCCATGATCTGATGCACCCACATTTCACCACGACTTTTCCCTTCATTCCACTTCGCAACACTTCACCGGGCAGTACCTCAAATCAGGCAACTACCATTTTCTTCCGCATCCATCCTAATGTGTTACTCAGCACTGTTACGTACTCGACTAGTGGGTCAGTTTAAACAGTGAAGATTACGGTATTCCGGGATATGAAGCTGTGTAGTCTGGTAAAGCATTATGATGGTTTCGGTGGAACCTGAGGGCACAGTTTTCAGAGTAGAGGATGAAGCTGAAGATTGAGACAGGTTGCTCCGCTAGCCAGAAGAGTGCGAGAGAATGTTTCTCTGATTGCCTGAAGATGGAGGCAGTACAGTCCTCCGAGTGGCTGACAGTAATCTCTATACTCACCACTGCGAACACCTCAGTCTCACAGTTGAGGCAGCAGGTAGACTTTTATGAAGGAAGGAATTTGGCTACCTCAAGGGACGTGCAACAGACGATGAGGAACACTGCACCAGACGTTGTGACGGCAATATTTTCCACCCACCAACGCCTTAGTCTTCCCAGTGGTCTCTTTCCTTTTGGCTTTCCCACAAATATCCTATATGCATTCCTCTTTTTCCCCCATTCGTGCTACATGACCTGCCCACCTCATCCTCTTTAACTTGAACATTCTAATCATACCCGGAGAAGAGTACAAGTTATGAAGCTTAAATATTCTCCTCAACACCCTATTCTCAAACACCCTCAGTCTATGTTCCTCCCTTACTGTCAGAGACCAAGTTTCACACCCTTACAGAACCACAGGCAAAATTATGGTTTTGTATAATCTAATTTTATATTTTTAGACAGCAGACGAGAAGACAAAAGGTTCTGGACTGAATGGTAGCAAGCATTACCCGAGTTCAATCTCCTTTTAATTTCCTCTTGAATCAGGTTTCGATCTGTTATCGTTGTTCACAAATATCTGAACTGTGCAACATTTTCAAAACATCTGTTTTCTATCTTTATGTCATGATTTTGCCCTGTATTTTGGTGACGAGACAGCAACATATACTTAGTTTTCTCTGTATTTATTTCTAGACTAACTTTCTTACTTGCGTCAATTAAAGTTTGTGTGTTTCTCTTTATGGTATTTGTATTATCACCCAGTAGATTCACATCGTCAGCATAGACCAACAGCTGATGTGTCCCGTTTAATTTCAGTCCCACCTGGTTTCCCTGGACCTTCCTAATGACATATTCTAATGCAAAGTTGAAAAGGAGTGGTAATAAAGCATCTCCTTGTTTTAGACCATTCTGGATAGGTAATTTATCAGACAAATGTTTACCTACACGGACTTTGCTATACGTTTCGTTTAGACACATTTTAATCAGCCTAACTAGTTTCATGGGTATCCTAAACTCTATCAGAATATTGTACAATACTTCCATCCTAACTGAATCATAGGCTTTCTTGAAGTCTATAATAGCTGATGTACTGTCTCACTGTACGAGTACTCCCATTTTTCTCCAGTCTCTGACGAATGCAAAAGATCTGATCACTAAAAAAAAAAATGAAGTAAAGCTATCCCTGTACCAGGCCGTGAAGGCCCATAGGGTTGTGAGACGTTGAGGGTCCCACATTATCTAGACAATCGGCTCATAGATGGCGGTAAGGTTGGCAGCCTTATGCGCCGGCCGCTCTTTACTCCCCAGGAAAATTATTTAATTAATTCCTATTACTCATTTCTGTTAGAGGCTGAGCACTACCAGAGAAAAATGGCTTGGATAGAAGTTCGATATATTGCTTGGTCCCCTAGATTCACAGACCTCATTCCATGCGACATCCACATGTGGGAATATGTAGAAGACCAGGTGTACCAACCTCCCACGCCACAATCCCTTCGAGAACGAATTTCACTTGAGTCACAGCTGCGGCATACGCGGGAAGATCTCGAATATAGCGTTCACGTTTGCAGAGCTACAAATGGGGAACGTATCGAACATCTGAAGTT